ATTAATCATCTTGACATCGTGATGTATGACTATGAAAATAAAAAGATTTTAAGTCTCAGAAATAGTGCATTTTACAACATATTTTTTGCACGGTCCATTTTCAAGATTTTCATATGTTTATAGATCTACTTGATTTTAACCATTTTTTAAATTTAAAATTTTATAATTAGATATAAAAATAGATTTTTAGATAATCCTAAAAACATTTTACATCAAAATTATAGACCATGATAAAATTTGAAGGTGTGTGTTACCTCTATACCTACGGATGCATCCGTATGCCAACTGCACCATTCAATAAATAAACATAGGTGTAAAGTTAAACGAGAAGTTCTATAAATAAATTTCGAATAGGAAGGATCACTCTCATATCCTGTTTGCCTGCACCTCATAAATATATTGAAAGTAGTTTGATAGGGATGTAGCCCTATCAAAAGAAGTAAAACTGTGCGTTGAAAAACCTTGAAATCGATCATTTCGACTTAAACATTATGGTTCTGAAAAAAAAAAAGGTTTTAAACTCTAATTGCAACAAATTATCTTAGACCGATCATTTCGTTCTAAAAGTAATGTTCACATATCTATAAAGTTTGTACCAATTTTTGAGTTTCAAATTTTATTATCGATTTTAAAAATTGATTATAGAACCATCATGGAAATTTTCAATGCGGAGAATACTTTCCGGATTGGTATTTGAAGTAAGGCATTATTTTGTTTTCATAAAGCCTGCCTATGTCATATAAAAACTACATCTTAAATATATTTCTCTCGCCTCTCATTCCGACTCAAGACCACGTGCCTCCGCTAGTATATACAGAAATGACAATCCTACGCTTCGCACCACTAGTAGTCTAGTCTAGCCACCATCCATTCAAATTCCTAAAAATGGACGGTGCGGATTATATACAACTTTGGTATTTACTGTACTTAGTGCTTAAGACATGGAGTTAATTATTCATTGCTAGCCCCGAGTTTGAACGAGTCAAATCGATGATCCATAGTTAAAAAATAAATAAATGAAGGAGAAATTAAATACAAAGAAATGCGAGAATAGAAAAAACATTTAAACATTAAAAAAAAAAAAATTCAAGATGAAAATGAGAAAACAACTGTAGAAGATTAGCTCTAGTACACGACAACATACACTAAAGAGAAACAAAGAAATGAGCTCCAAAATAAAAAGAAATTATCCATTTCGCATCAAAAGAAGTTGACGAGGCTTTTGTAGATCAACATGACATGAACGTTTTAGGATAAATTTAATAGATTTTGGTAAGCAATGAGAGAGATAAAAAAAAACAATATTTTAGTTTCAATAAACTCCAAACTTTAGAGCCTCGATTTCATCTTGTCTAGTTTTTTATTGAAAAATGGTGGTACGTCACGCGCATGCGTCATCCCCATGACATACAAAGCATCCACCTTAAAGATAAGCTTTGACCCGGCCACAAGAATAAAACTACATTAAATTACTCTTCGAAACTTATTTTCTTAAGGGAAAAGTTTATATAGAGAAGAGACTCTAAACAGCCGAATTAGAACCCACCTCAAAGATATCATTGGAAGAGGTTGTTTTGATTCCCGAATATCTTTAAATTGATCATCTTGGCATCAAGATGCATGGACTATGAGAAAAAAATAGATTTCAAGTTTTGGAAATAGTGCATCTTGTAACGTTTTACTGTCAATTTTTAAGTTTTTCAATTTTTCATAGATATGCTCAATCCATACTATTTTTTAACTTTTAAATTTTATAATTAAAGATGAAAATATATTTAAAGGCTATCACATTATTTGAAGGTGGGCTCTAATTTGATTGTTTAGAGCCTCAACTCTATACAGACCTCACCCTTTCCTTAATTTTTAAAACTTTTTTTTTTTTTTTTCTATATTAACAATCCTCACAGTAGAGATTATATATTCCTCAAAATTTAAATTCAAAAATCATTTAAAAAATAGATCACATCTATAAACCCTGTCCTTTTAGGTGGGCATGTTCGTCAAGTATAATGATGCTTTATCACATTGTGTTCCTTTGCCAGCTTTGAGATGCTTTTCCCTTTGGATATGTTCCTTTTTGACCAATGAATAAATAAATAAACAATTATTCAACGGCGTAAGGAGAAAGATGAACTAGATGCCCCTTCATATATATATAAACTTCTATATCTTAGTCCCAAATACAGGCTCTTCGCTATTCTCTCTCTCCTGCTGCCCAAGCCTTTATCACGTGGACCACATGGTATGTTCTATGTTATTTTTTTTCGTTTTAAGCACATGGTATGGTCTAGATTTTTTTATTTTATTTTTTGTAGTTTAGTACTAGGCATCAAATTGAGATGTAGTACTGTTAAAATTGGCTTCTAACCATGCAAGCCCAATCCCGATTCTTATGGTCTAAATTTTTTTTTTGGTTATGCTTTCTTTTAGTCATAGTTGACTTCCATGAAATGGAAAAATTACCCACACTTTTTATTGAGTATTACGAAGCTGGATTCCTAGCAAGGGCGGTGAGGCTGCTCTTCCAAAATTCAATCATGGAGATGGTTTTTTGGATGTAAAATTTTGTAGGTCTATTCTCTCGACCACCATTATTATGAATTTTAAAAAAATAAAATAAATTTTAAATTTTAAAAATAATATGTCTTGTACTTTTTTGGACTGGTCATTTCAATTCCTCTAATATGGTAATATCCATGTTCTCTTTAGAGTTCGATTTCATGAATTTGAATTAGAAATGGATATGCAGTTATTCACAATGTATTTAGAATTGTAAAGCACGTGAAAACAGGGAAAAACAATCACGAGAACTCCAGAATCAGCTATAATTTGCAGCGGTAATTTGTGAGTAAATTATCCTTTTCGTAGAATTTGTGGATGGATTATTGTAGAAAACTCTCATTAGCTTTTAGAATTTTTGTGAGCACTACTTCCCATCTAAATCTTCGGTTGATTTTTTTTCTAATCTTTCCTTGTTTCACTAGAAATCTATATTATAGAGTCGATAACCTCCTAAATTTAATGTACTTTTTGTTGTAATTTCTTATGACCTATAGTTAACAAGATTGGAGCCGATCGGTAGAGGTGACTAGTTGGACTATTTCCTGGTGTTTTGGTTGAGCTGCTCCAAAACAAAAATCAGACTTGATGAAAAACTGATCAAACCAATATTTCTACAATTTTGGCCGGTTTACGTCTAATTTTAACTAGTTATATGGGTTAAATAAAGCTAGATAACACTTTTGCTAAAGATATTTTATATGTAGAAGTTATTATTCTTATTTTGTTTTTTTTAAAATTCAACCTAACCGGTATGACAAGCAATCAAACCGGCTTTGACTAGTTGGTAGCTTGTCCTAACATTTACTTTCAACCTTTTTTTTTTTTCTCTAAATGGAGAATAGATTTAAAATATGAAACATAGTAAAAGAATAGGGAAAACTTATTTAGTTGGTCCATCATGTCAATGAATGGTTCAATCGATTAGAAACCAAACCGAGTTTTTACTTTGGACTAGTCCAGCCCAAGGACCGGCCGATAATCCATCTAGTTGGACTAGCTGAGCCAATCTTGATAATTATGAGTAAAACATTCGAAAAATAGCAATTGGCTGACCTAAGTAGCATTGAGGATGTTATGAGCTACGAGGTTGTTTGGAAGGCGTGATTGAGACACCTCTTACAATTACTTTGGTCAAGATCGAATAAAAACATGTATTCAAATTCACACCACCCTTCTTACAAGTGGGCTTCATGTGTAACATTCCCGGTATACTTTTTTTTTAGAGAACAAAAGTATACTAGGAATGTTACTCATGAAACTGAAAAAGCACTACTTGCTTAACCACATAATGCGAGTGCAAGTCTATAAATCAAGATTCATTTAGTCGGCTTAGGCTTGAGATTCAAGCCGTGGCTGAGGCGAGTAACTTGGGTGAGTCCTATGGACTCATCCAAATAGTGTACAAGCTCAAAAAAGGACAGAACTCTGCATTGAATCAGCTCCATACAAGCCTAAATTCTAATGCAGATTATGACCACAAGGCCTGCAATAATATCGATGGGGTTTAGAAAACTGAGAGAGAGAACCCTACAACTGCTGAATAATTTCCTTAAGAGCGCAATTTTTTTTTTTTGAAAGATATCTCTTGGAAAGTTGAATGTTTTTAAATCTTCTAAAAAGTTGAATGTCCTATTTTTGAAGGTTTAAATAAGTTATAGGTACTGTGTTTAATACCATGCATATATATTATTAT